TGGTGGCAGGCCGCCGGTACCAGCTTTTCAGCACCTTCGTGGGGGAGCTAGCTGACGACCTGGCCGGGTTCTACCATAGCAAATACATGGAAGGCAACGTCACAAAGTAGGTGGGGCTGGGGCTGGCCAGCGGTGCCTGTGCTCGGGGGCAGCCGGCTCCTGCCATGGGCTAGGATGGGGGAGCCCCTGGGATGCAAGGCCCCCCACAATGTGCAGTGCCGGCAGGGCAGGGTGTGGGACTGGGGCTTCATGCCCCCAGCACCCCTGTTCTGTGCCTGACCCCTGACCCTCTTCCCAGGGCCAGGTCCCAGGAGGGGGCTGGGGGTGCAGAGGGTGCGTGAGGCTCCCAGTTTCCCCCCTCCACCTGCCCATGGGGTGCAAACAGCTGGGGAGTGGGTGCCAGCAGGCTGCAGCTGCACGTGGCACATGCCGCTGTGGGCCCAGGCTGGGTGCCATCCCCCTCCTTGCCGGGACACCGCCAGCTCCCCTGAGCATGGCTGGCAGGAGGTCCGGGTGGGGGAGGTGGGTGCCAGGCCGTGGCGTGGGGGTCATAGCGGGACATGGTGCAGCATGGCAGGGTGGGGTATGGCATGTCCATGGCACCCCCTCATGAGCCGTGGTGGCCGTCAGGGTGGTGGCCACAACACAGATGCAGGCGGCAGACGCACGGAAGGCCTTCCCCTGCTTCGACGAGCCGGCCATGAAAGCCACGTTCGAGGTGACGCTCATCTACCCGCTCAACCACACGGCACTCTCCAACATGCTCCCACAGAGTGAGTGGCACTGAGGACGCGGGGTGGACGTGGCTTGGGCCTCATGCTCATGGGGAAGCCCCCCGACAGCCTGCAGCTCCCCAGCTGCCACGCGGCTCCTCCCTCGCTGCAGGGTGGCCAGACCTGCCCCGTGGCTGGCGGGAGAGTCATAGAGGCCCACGGGAAGCAGGGCAGCTCCCCGGCGTGGAGCTGGGGGGTCTCCTCTTACACCCACCTCACTGCTCGTCTTGCAGGCTCCAGGCAGCAAGTCGTCGATGGTGTCACGCGGAACATTGTCACCTTCCATCGCACGCCCCCGATGTCCACCTACCTGCTGGCCTTCATCGTCAGCGAGTTCACCAGTGTCGACAACCAGACGGATAATCTCCTGGTAGGGAGGGAGGGGGCGGGGGTCCTGGCTCAGGGCCTGGGCCCCGGGTGCTGCCAGCCTCCGCTGAGCCCAACCCTTCCCCTCCGTGACAGGTCCGGATCTGGGGCCGGCCCAAGGCCATCGCGGAGGGGCAGGGCACCTACGCGCTCGAAGTCACCGGGCCCATCCTGCGCTTTTTCGAGAACCACTATAACACGTCCTACCCCCTGCCCAAGTCTGGTGAGCACCGCATGGGGCTGGCACGTGGCCGTGGGCACTGGGGGCCGCCTGCACTCAATATGGGTGGGCGCTGCCCTAGGGTGGTGCTGTGGGGGGTGTCTCGTGGGCGGGTGGGGTCCTGTGGGGTCCGTGCTGTGGGTGGGTGTCCCGTGGAGGCTGTCTCATGGGTGTATGGGATCCTGTGGAGGCTGTCCTGTGGGTGGGGGGGGTCCCATGGATGTTGTCCTGCGGTTGGGGGGGTCCCAAGGGTGGGTGGGTCCCATGGGGCCTGTCATGTGATCGAGGTGGGTCCGTGTCCCAGATCAGGTGGCACTGCCCGACTTCAACGCGGGCGCCATGGAGAACTGGGGACTGGTGACGTACCGCGAGAACTCGCTACTCTTCGACTCGCGTTTCTCCTCTATCGGCAACAAGGATCGTGTGGTCACCGTCATTGCCCACGAGCTCGCCCACCAGGTGCCTGCCCCACCTGGGCTAGATCCTTCCCTGTGGGACTGGGGGCACAGTGTCCCCCTGCAGTGATGGTCCTGGGGGGCACGTGGCACAGCCGGATGAGGACTCCGGGTTGTGTGTTTATCGGGGCCCAGGACTGACCCCCCACTGCCTTTCCCTGTCCTCAGTGGTTTGGGAACCTGGTGACCCTGCGCTGGTGGAACGACCTGTGGCTGAACGAGGGCTTTGCCTCCTACGTGGAGTACCTGGGGGCTGACGCCGCCGAGCCCACCTGGAGAATCGTAAGTCAGCCTGGACCCCCCGCCAACCCCGCGGGGCTCAGAGCCCCCTCCCGTGGGGGCTGCCGTGGGCAGAGGGGGAGAACTGGGGCTGCCCGTGGCCGCCAGATGCAGGTGCTGGCAGGACGTCTGCCCCGGGGCTCAGGCACTGGCCCTGACCCGACCCCTCTGCCTGCTCCTGCAGAAGGACCTGATGGTGCTGAACGATGTGTACCGTGTGATGGAGGTGGACGCGCTGGCCTCCTCCCACCCCCTCACCTTCCGAGAGGACGAGATCAATACCCCTGCCCAGATCAGCGAGGTCTTCGACTCCATCTCCTACAGCAAGGTCAGGCCCACACCGGGGCCAAGCAATGGCACAGGCGCATCTAGGAAGTTGGAAGATGGGTACAGAGGGGGTGGCGCATGCTCACAGTCCACCCCCCTGGATCCGGCCACGGACCATGGAGCTGTGGCAGCATGGCTCAGGGCAAACGATTCCAGGAGCTCGCAGAGAGCAGCTCCAGGGCATCCTGCTGCATCTGTAGCACCGGCAGCCAGGGACCAGCCGGGTGCTGGGAGCTGCCAGATGCTCCCCACTAGGGTCTGCCAGATGCCAGCACAGCTGGAGGGCACCGTTCTGCCTCTGGGGGCCAGAGTCACTGTTGGGGTTCAAGTGCCGCCCTGCGGGGGCACTGGGAGGCCTGGGCTGGGCTGAGCTGTCGCTGCCCCTGCTCCTGGCACTGTGCTCACAGCCGGGCTCTGCTCTTTGCAGGGAGCGTCGGTGCTACGGATGCTTTCTGCCTTCCTCACTGAGGACCGGTTCAAGAGGGGGCTGCAGGTAAGGGTCCCCGGGGGGTTGTGGGGACTGCGGTGCCGGCACAGAGGGGTCCCAGACCCAGGGCTGGCTGGAGTGGAGGTGCTGACGCTGCCCTCTCCCTGGTTCATGGGCTTTACCTAGGGGTGCCAGGCCCTGGCGGTGGGGAGGGGAAGGGAGCGCCGTCTCACATCTGTGTTGCTCTGTCTCCTAGTCCTACCTGCATACTTTCGAGTACGGGAACACCGTCTACAATGACCTGTGGACTCACCTGCAGATGGTACGTCCTGTTGCCCCCCCCAGCCTGCACTTTGCCTGGCGGGTCATCTGTGTCTGGCAGCGATGTCACGCTGAAATGCCACGTGGCTGCCAGCACGTGGCAGAGCGAGACCTCTCGCACATGGGCCTCGATTCCCTTGCACGCTGATATAGGCATGCAAAGCACTGGTATGCACATGGGGTGCCAGGCGGGGCTTCGACTGGGGCTCTGCTCCCTGGATCCCCCATAGCAGAGGGTGGGGTGGGGGGCAGGAGCTGGGCAGCCCCATTCCGTGCCCCATGTGGGCTGGGCTGAGCGTGGGCACTGATCCTCACCCCTGCTCCCTGCCTGGGGCAGGTGGTCGATGCAGACAAGTTCAGCCTGCCTGACTCCATCAAGAACATCATGGACCGCTGGACGCTGCAGATGGGCTTCCCCGTGGTCACCGTGGACACCACCACGGGGAGCATCTCGCAGAAGCACTTCCTGCTGGACCCCATGTCTGTGGTGGATCGGCCCTCCCAGTTCCAGTGAGTGACCCCGCACTGGGGAAGATGGTCCCTTGCCCCCCACCGAGTGCCCTGGGGGGCGTGAGACCACTCATGAGACCCCCTCCCTGAGCATCTTGCCAGCCTGGGGCAGGACAGTCCTGGAGCCATGGGGTGGGTCTTACTGGGGGGGTGGCAGGGAAGCCCCAATCCTGGGGTGAGTCCGTAGCCATCAGTCACCCACCTGTCTGTCTGCCTGGCACAGGTACACCTGGATTGTTCCCATCACATGGAGGACCACCACTGGCATAGAACAGACGTACTGGCTCACGGAGACCACAGGTACCACCACTGCGGGCTGGGCTGTGGGCGCCGGGTGCTGCAGCAGTGGGTAGGGTGGGGGCATGGGGTCAGGCACCAGAGCGGGTATAGGGTGCCCCAGCACCAAGCTGCATTTCCAGAGGCTGCAGAGCTGTACTGGGGGCATTTCCCCCTTGGCACTCCCCTGAGACACGCTGGCAAGGGCAGCAAGAGAGGGACTGGGGAGCAGCGGCTCTGGGGTGGGGACGTGGCCCTGGGTGCAGGGGGGAGTCTCTGCTGCAGCTCCTGGTGCCTAACATCCCGTCTGCTCCTCCCCCCAGCCACGAATCCATCCTTCCAGGTGTCGCAGCCCAACTGGCTCCTACTCAACCTCGATGTTAAAGGGTATTTCCGGGTGAACTACGACACGCAGAACTGGAACCGGCTCCTTGCCCAGCTCAGCAGTGACCCCCAGGTACTGGGGCCTGGCCCTGGCTGTGTGGAGCCCCTGGGCAGCCCGGGGGCCCGGCGGCTGCAGGGGAAGCCAGCTGGGACCATGGCCTGTTCCTGCTCCCTGTGTGACCGTGTCTGTCTCCCAGGTCATCCCGGTGATTAACCGTGCCCAGATCATTGACGATGCCTTCAACCTGGCTAGGTGAGAGATGGGGTGACAGCCCTCTGTGCCCCCCACCTGAGCCACATCCTGCCTGGCCTGGCTCCCCATGCAGCTGCAGGGACCCGGGGCAGGATTGCTGGTGGGATCAGCTGGTGCCTGAGCCCTGCGGTCTCCCCACAACAGGGCAAAGTATGTGCAGGTGGAGCTGGCGTTGAACACGACACGGTTCCTGCAAAAGGAGACGGAGTACCTGCCCTGGACTGCTGCCCTCAACAACCTGGCCTACTTCCAGCTCATGTTCGACCGCAGCGAGGTCTTCGGGCCCATGCAGGTGGGGACCCCTCTCCATCCTGCCCGCTAGCTCCCGTGGGTTGTGAGCTGCGGGGTCTGCAGAGCACGCAGGAGTTCGGGCTGGGGCAGCAGGGCTGACACTGCGCTCTCCACACAGAGCTATGTCCAGAAGCAGGTGAATCCCCTGTTCAACCACTACAAGACCATAACCAGCAACTGGACCACCATCCCGGGCGGCCTGATGGACCAGTGAGTGCAGGAGGTGGGGCAGGGCTGGGACCCTCCACGCCCTGCCATGGGCTGGCTGGGCTCCAGCTGCTGCTGCCTCGGGGGCTCCAGGGACCCCTGCCCATTTTTCCCACCTCTGTCCCTGCTGTAGGGACAGCAGGGATATAGGTTTGTCGGGGCCGGGGGGCCGTGCTCTCCCTGCCCAGGCTCAAAGCCCATGCACTGCGGTGCCTTCACCAGGCTTCTGGACCCCAGCCCCTGTGCTGCCCCATCCAACCTGTGCTGCGCGGTGCCCCTGGGACCGGGGCCCGGGGTCTGTCCCGGTAGGGTCCCCGCCCCACTCCATAGGGGCTGCTGGGTCCCAGGCCCTGACTCCGCTGCCGCTTCCTGCCAGGTACAACGAGATCAACGCCATCAGCACGGCCTGCTCCTACGGGATCCCCGAGTGCCTGGAGCTGGCCACCGCCTTGTTCAACCAGTGGAAGGCAAACTCCACGAACAACCCGTGAGTGCCTCCCAGGGCTGGGGCCAGGCCCCCCTTGGGGTGTGAGGGGGTGGGGGCCAGGCTGTGCACCCCACGCAGCCTGAACTCCCCCTGCCCCGGCTCAACTGGCTCCGTGTCCTCCCCCCGCAGCATCCACCCGAACCTGCGCTCCTCCATCTACTGCAGCGCCATCGCCACGGGCGGCGAGGCGGCCTGGGCCTTTGGCTGGCAGATGTTCCTCGAGGCCCCCGTCGTGGCCGAGGCTGACAAGCTCCGCTCTGCCCTGGCCTGCAGCCAGGAGCCCTGGATCCTCAATAGGTGGGGATGCGCCTGCCCAGGAGCCATGTCCGTGGGAGCACGGGGCGCAAGGCATCGAAGGGCGTGATGCCTCGCTGCTGGGCACCGGCCAGGCCTCTAGAGCACGGGGCAGCTCTGGGTGCCACGTTTGATAAAGGACACGGGAGAGTTAGAGAGGTGGTGAAAAGGCGATCGAGGGCCGGGGGGGCCAAGTGACGCAAGGAGAGGCAGAAAGAGATTGGTATGATCAGCTTGTGGAAGTGACGCTGGAGAGGGGACGTGAGAGCAGTCTGCAGACACCTGCAGGGATGCCAGGGAGAGGTGGGAAAGCACCTCCTCTCTCGGCGCAGAGAACCACGGCTTGAACTTGCAGCAGAGCACGTTTAGTTGGAGATGAGGAAACGCTTTGCTGTCAGAGCAGAGCTGCCGGGGGAGAGACGCCAGGGGAGGGGGAGGATCCAGGGAGAAGCTGGACGGGCACTGAGTGGGATGATCTGGGTGCAGCGATGCCTGTGCTCTGCTATGGGGATCTCCCAGGCTTCGGGCTCTGCTGGTTGTCCCCGCACCCCACCCCCCATGTCAGGGGGTTTTAATCCTCCCCCAGAGGCAGCCCGGGCTGGGGCTGGGGCTGGGCTGTGCCAGCGCTCCTACTGGCATCAACCCCGCAGGGTCCTGGCTGGAGGGTCTTGCCCTCACGCTCAGGCTCAGCCCCACACTGCGCTGGAGGCAGGAAGGGATTTCCCCCCTGCTTAAACTGGTCTGGACTGGGCAGGGGGGTTGCCTTCTTTTGCAGCGGGGGCACAGCCTTGGCCTGGGCTCTCTTTAGCATCCACGACCCCCCTGGCAGCATCAGGATGTTGGCAGCCACAGCCCCTCTGCTTCCTGGGGGCAGGGGCGGGGGCGATGGCGATGCCTGGGGCTGTCAGGGGTGACTGTCGTGTGGCTTCAAGGCTGCACACAGGGTTTGACGGGGCTGGGGCTGGGGCTGGATGTGACCCCGCAGCTCCCTGCCAGCCCCACGGCCCTGGGATACTCTGACTAGGTGGGGGTGGTGCCCACGGCCCCGTGCCTGCCGCATCCCCACCGTGCCCTGACAGCTGCCCCTGCCCCCAGGTACCTGGAGTACGCGCTGGACCCTTCCAAGATCCGCAAGCAGGATGCCACGTCCACCATCAACAGCATCGCCCGCAACGTGGTGGGGCAGACCCTGGCCTGGAACTTCATCCGCGGCAACTGGGCCACGCTGTTCCAGCAGTGAGGACAACGGGGCAATGGGGAATGTGGGGGGGAAGGGGCAGGAGGGGGTGGGTGCATGGTGCCCCTGGGCTTGCCTGTGCCCGGCTCAGCCTGCCTCTGCCCTGGGCAGGTGGGGCGGGGGCTCCTTCTCCTTTTCTGGCCTGATCCAGTCCGTGACGCGGCGCTTCTCCACTGAGTTCGAGCTGAAGGAGGTGAGGCCTGTCCGGGCGGGGAGAGGTGGGATGGTCCCAGGGCCCCTCCAGCCCAGCCCAGCCCAGCCCAGCGCAGCCCTGGGTGCTGGGGGCACCCGTGCACTCGGTGTGACCCTTGCCCAGGCATCCCTGCAGTAGGGGACTCCCAGCCTGGCCCCTTGGGCTGGCTCTAGGCTTGGGGTCCCAGGTGGGGTTGCTGCCATCTCCCTCCCCTCCCCTTCTCCCCGCTGATGCCTGCCTCCCACTCTCCGCAGCTGGAGCAGTTCAAGGCAGACAACATGAACGTGGGCTTCGGCTCGGGCACGCGGGCGCTGGAGCAGGCCCTGGAGCGCACCAAGGCCAACATCAAGTGGGTGCAAGAGAACAAGCAGCCGGTGCTGGCCTGGTTCAAGAGCGAGACCAGCTAACGGGGCCAGCGCCACCCCAGACCCGGCCTCATGCTGCAGGCGGCAAGCGGGGCAGCTCCCGGGGGGCTGCGGTACCCCAGCTCCGCTGCCCGGGGCCCCAGCCCGGGGCTGCCACCCCTGCTCCCAGCCTCTCCCGGCCCCGGGAGCCTCCCTGAGCCCCCATAATGGACACACTCCCACAATGCTTCGCACTGCCTGCAATCCTCGGCCACGCTCCCACAATGCTTTGCACTGCCTGGGAGTCCCTGGCCACGCTCCCACAATGCTTTGCACTCCCTGGGATCCCTAGCCACATTCCCACAATGCTGCGCACTGCCTGGGAGTCCCTGGCCACGCTCCCACAATGCTTTGCACTCCCTGGGATCCCTAGCCACATTCCCACAATGCTGCGCACTGCCTGGGAGTCCCTGGCCACGCTCCCACAATGCTTTGCACTCCCTGGGATCCCTAGCCACATTCCCACAATGCTGCGCACTGCCTGGGAGTCCCTGGCCACGCTCCCACAATGCTTTGCACTCCCTGGGATCCCTAGCCACATTCCCACAATGCTGCGCACTGCCTGGGAGTCCCTGGCCACGCTCCCACAATGCTTTGCACTCCCTGGGATCCCTAGCCACATTCCCACAATGCTTCGCACTGCCTGGGAGTCCCTGGCCACATTCCCACAAGGCTTCGCACTGCCTGGGATCCCTGGCCACATTCCCACAAGGCTTTGCAGTGCCTGGGATCCCTAGCCACATTCCCACAATGCTTCGCACTGCCTGGGAGTCCCTGGCCACATTCCCACAAGGCTTCGCACTGCCTGGGATCCCTGGCCACATTCCCACAAGGCTTTGCAGTGCCTGGGATCCCTAGCCACAC